GCAGCGCGAGCAGCAGCAGCACGAGCAGCAGCAGCGCGAGCAGCAGCAGCAGCAGGGGAAGCTGCTGCACGAGCAGGAACTGCAGCAGCAGCCACAGGAGGAACAGCAGCAGCTGCTGCAGCAGCTGCAGCAGCTGCAGCAGCAGCAGCAGCTGCAGCAGCAGCAGCAGCAGCAACCGAAGAAGGAAGATGTTTACTTACGTGGGCCTCCTGCTGCTGTCCCCCTGCACAAGGAGCAGCAGCAGCAGCAGCAGCAGCCAGAGCAGCAGCAGCAGCAGCCGCAGCAGCAACCAGAGCAGCAGCAACCAGAGCAGCAGCAGCCACAACAGCAGCAGCAGCAGCCGCAGCAGCAGCCGCAGCAGCAGCAGCAGCAGCAGCCGCAGCAAGAAGCAGGCAGCAACTCTGCCTGGGCCTCAAATAAAGAAAACGAAGACCCCGCTGCAGCAGCAGCAGCAGCAGCAGCACCTGAAGCAGCAGCAGCAGCAGCACAACCGCCGCCAGCAGCAGCAGCTGAAACAGCAGCAGCAGCACCAGCAGCAGCACCAGCAGCAGCACCAGCAGCAGCTCCAGCAGCAGCAGCAACAGGAGGTTACTAGCTGCATTTATATCTGTTTATAAACGCAGCAAAAGAAGCAGCAACTGCAGCAGCAGCAGCAGCAGCAGCAGCAGCAGCAGCAGCTGGTGCAGCAGTGCGTCTGTCGTCTTTCTTTTTCTCTTTCCTGCTGCATGCATGCATGCATGCATGCATGCATGCATGCATGCATGGGGGGAGCAACCCCACCAATAAACACACAGTGTTTTGGGGCTGCTGCTGAGCTAGCCAGCGGAGACCCCCTTCTCTCTCTCTCTCTATCTGCACACAAACAAACCACTCTATACAGACTCAAACACATACACTCCAGCTAGCTAGCTAGCTAGCTAGCTAGCTAGCTAGCTAGCTAGCTAGCTCTATGGCTAGCTAGCTAGCTAGTTGTATGGCTAGCTAGCTAGCTAGCTAGCTAGCTAGCTGTATGGCTAGCTAGCTAGCTAGCTAGCTAGCTAGCTAGCTAGCTNGCTAGATAAGAAGTGTACAGATATGTACGCTTTCTAGCAAGCTAGCTAGCTAGCTGTATGTACACCTAGCTAGCTAGCTAGCTAGCTAGCTAGCTAGCTAGCTGGGGTGCATGTGTTGTTCGTTTGCTGTCGGGAGACAGCTGCAGCAGCAAAAAGAAACAAACAGAAGCAATGCCGCTTGTTTCTTCTCCCTGGGGTTTTTAGGGTTTAGGGTTTAGGGTTTTAGGGTTTAGGGTTTAGGGTTTTAGGGTTTTAGGGTTTAGGGTTTAGTGTTTAAATAAGAGAGAACGCAGTTTAGGGTTTAGGGTTTTCTAGGGTTTAGGGTTTAGGGTTACACCCCGTAGATACGATAGCCCCGAAGGAAGAAAGCCCCGCCGTTTTTTAGGGTTTAGGGTTTAGGGTTTAGGTAGTTTGTTTCCTTTGAGGGTTTAGGGTTTAGGGTTTAGGGTTTATAAAATAAAAACAAACAAACCAACTGTCTCCTTTCTCCTCTTATAGAAGGCAGCAGTAACCCGTATTGCTTTACTCTGCTGCTGCAGTTGCTGCTGCAGTTGCTGCTGCTGCTGCGGTTGCTGCTGCTGCTGCAGTTGCTGCTGCTGCTGCAGGACTTATAGGACTTATATTACAGCAGCCCTCCAAACCCTAAACCCTAAACCCTAAACCCTAAACCCTAAGCCCTAAACCCTTTTGTTCTGCTTGCGTTTCTATTCGTGTTCTTTTCTTTTGTGTATGTACACCGCAGATGGCCTGGAGGGAGAAGGCCATGGCTGTGCTTCTGCGGCTAGGGGTTTAGGGTTTAGGGTTTAGGGTTTAGGGTTTAGGGTTTAGGGTTTAGGGTTTGTTTCGGGGCGAGCTACGAGTATGGCGTGCAGGGGGTTTAGTGTGTTTATAGTGTTTATTAATTTTTTTGATTTTTTTCTTTTATTTTATTTATTTATTTATATATTTATGTTTATATATTTATATATTTATTTATTTTTTTTATATTTCTTTTTTTTTTTTTTGCATTTCTGTTTTTTGGGTGTCTCGAGGACTGCGCTGCCGCCTGCTCTCACTCTGCGGGCAATAAAATAATTTTTTTTGTGTTTTTGTGTTTTATTTTTATAAAATATTTAAATATTTTATAAATAATTTAAAAAATTATAAAAAATAAATAAAAAAACTAAACAAAACTCGTTTTTCTCTTTCGCTTGAGCTGCCTATACACCCCAAACCACCGACGACCGCCGCCGCCGCCACCGGCGGCTGCTGGGGGCCCCGGGGCCCCCTTTT